ATACGATCTCCTCCTGTCTATTTGCCCGTCGCCCGCCGCAACAGCTCCTCCATCCGCCGCCCATCGACGACGACTCCTCCTCCGCCCAAACATCCGCCCGCCGTCGGCGACTCCTATTAACCAGTAAGAAACAGTTTCTTTCTTACACTTTACAGTTTACCATGCACGATCATAATAAAAAAAATTCCACAAGTTTATGTTTCATGAATCTACACCTTGTTTTGTCAGAACATTAAAATTTTATTATTTTCATCCGTATTCTTAACATCTAATATTTACAGTAAGTTTAACAACATTTTAAATACACAGGGATCAGTAGTCTTCCCAGTGATCCTGGAACCCCCGGAGTTCTCCTGAGCCTAAGTCTTGTGTTTCTAGTCCTGGGACCTGCTTGTGTTTCTAGCCGCAATGGATGTCTCTTCTTCTCATCGTGACATTCTCTTAGAAGCCGCCTCCTCAAGCGAGCAACAATTGGCGATAATAACACCATTTGTTGAGAAGGTAATACATTTTACATCTTTGATATATGAAAAATTATATAATTAGCAAATTCAAGACATATGTGAATTCACTTGATCATGACGGAACCTAAGATTTTGCTTGGTGTTTTGCTATTGTCAACTCACTAATATGTTGCTCCCAATTGGTGTACATGTAACATATTTTGCAATCACAAGCAATCTCCTAAATGAGGTACTGGATTCATCAGTACACAATTTTTTTGCATTGGTTTAGTGGTTGGTCGACAATCAGTAGCTTTCAAATGATGGTAGTTGCCCCATTTGGAGTAAATTTGGAAAGTAAAATTTATTCTTTGGACTCAAGTTCAAATAAATTATACCCACTCCCTACAAAATATGCGAATTTGTCTTTATGTTTGATCTATGGTTAATCATCTTAATTATGGAATTTTAACATTGTTCATAGGCTCTTATTATGTCCTCTTATTTTAATCATGTTACCTTCTTAAATATGTTAGTTTTATTCTCTCATAGTAAGGTTTCCTTTTCATTGGTGATTGTCAAATTGGAGAGACAATAAGAGGGAATTGTGACTTTATTAGTGTATGCAAATAATTTTGATGTGGAGATTTGCATTCTTTTTTAAATTGAAGCTAATGAATTCATATGTTTTTTTTTAATTATCACAGAATTGCGCAACGAGAGATATTGAAATGACGGACAATGCACCCGATGACTCTATCTTAGACACTAGCATTCCACTAGATGATATTACTCCATTTGAAGGGAAGGAGTTCATAAGTGACGAAGATGCATACCACTATTACAATGCTTATGCAAAGAAATTTGGGTTTGGAATTCGCAAAGACACTTTGGAGAAGTCAAAGAAGGCTTCAGGGAAGATTCTTTCCAGAACATTTGTATGCAACAAAGCAGGGAGAAAGGTGCCGAGGGAAAATGAAAGTGGAATAATTATCAACCGTCGACCGGAAACTAGAATTAATTGTGATGCAAAATTGAAGATTAGGTTGACTTCTTCAAAAAGGTGGAAGGTTACTAAGTTTATTGCAGAACATGTTCATGCTTTAACAAGTCCTGACAAAGTAGCACATCATTATTCTCACAAGCAACGACATCGATCAAAGACTTGTAGAAGCTTTATTGATAGCTTGCATGAAGAGGGAATGAAGCCCTCTACTATTAATCGCGTGGTAAATGTTTTTTTCAAGGGAGAAGATGACGAACGAGTCACCACACAACAAGTAATCGATCATATCAGAACAACAAGGCATAATAATATTGGCACTGAATGCTTAACTATTGTTAGACATTTTCAAGATAGGAGGGAATCAGATCCAGATTTTTATTTCGCTATGGAGGTCGATCATCTTGGTATTATGAGGAGTGTGTTCTGGGCCGATGGAAGAGCTAGAGCATCTTATTTGAGTTTTGGAGATGTGGTAGTCTTTGATACTACATACAAGACTAATCATTTGAGTTTACCTTTTGCTCCATTTACGGGAGTAAACCACCATCGACAATCCGTCCTCTTTGGTTGTGCATTGCTTGCGGACGAACAAGAGGGGACCTTCACGTGGTTATTTTCTCAATGGCTCAAGTGTATGCACGGGATCGCCTCAAAGGCTATCATAACTGATCAAGATGCACAGATGAGAAAGGCTATCAATGAAGTTTTGCCGAACACTCGTCATCGTTTTTGTTCTTGGCATATTAGAAAGCATATTGCCGAGCAACAAGTAAAGTTGATGAGCAAATACGGGGATGAGATGCCTACATATTTCAATAGTTGGTACTATGCTAGAAATATAAGCAAGTGTGAGGAGCTATGGAAAGTCATGAAGGAGAAATTTGGTATAGAAGAAGATGAAGATAGTTGGCTAACAAGAATGTATAAGTTGCGTGAACATTGGGTGGATGCATACTTGAAGGATTGTTTTTGGGCGGGAATGACAACAAGCCAAAGGAGTGAAAGTATCAACTCCTTTTTCGATGGTTTTGTCAATGCAAATACTAATCTTGTTGAGTTTGTTGGCCAATATGACAAGGCAGTCACAACTCATCGTGGATCAGAATCTCATGAAGACTTCATGACTTTGAATACTGTGCCCGTGATGAGTTTCTCAAGTCCAATTGAAGCACAAGTGGGAAGGGCATACACGAGGGTGATGTTGAAGATGTTTCAAAAGGAGCTTGGTGATGTGATGTCATTACATTATGAAGAAACATCGAAGGAGGAGTTAAAAGTTGTATATTCAGTTGGCAAGTTTTCTGAAGAAAGAAAAAATTGGGAAGATGTAACTTATGAAAAGAATGGAGAGCTTAAAGTTGCATGCACTTGTGCATTTTGGGAAACCGAAGGGGGTGCTTTGTAAGCATATTTTGTTTATCTTATGGCTAAATCAAATAACATCTATTCCGGATAAGTATATCTTACATAGATAGAAAATTGATGCAAGATATAGGCATTTTGGCTTTGTTGATGCTACGAAGTCGCGGAAAAATGAAGAAAGCACGGAGCGGGAGAGTATTATAAGATTATGGGCTTTACGAGGAAACTTCAATGAGGCATTTGATATGGCGGCGGGCTCAAATGATCTTCTTTCTAAGTTAGAGCAACTCATAAACAACTTCATTACGGAAGCGGGAAAGGAAGTAAGGGGCAAGATAGTTCAAACTCGGGATTCTCAAGTTGGAAGTGAAGTTGACTCAAATACTAATGTGATCGTATTGAAAGATGGTGAGGAGATTACGGTTCGTGGTCCTCTCGAACCCGCAAAACCAAAGGGACGTCCAAGAAATTCCACTAGGATTAAAAGTGGCTTTGAAGAATCGGAAGAACAAAAGGAGGTGAAACAACGAAAATGTGGTCATTGTCAACAATTGGGTCACTATAGGACGGGTTGTCAATTGTTGGTAAGTTAAATTTAGTTCATTTATTTTACATATTTTTCATATATTGTTTATTATTTTGTTTCTCTTAGAATATCACTAATTAATTTCTTTTTGTTTTTCATTTATAGAAGAAGCAAATGAGATAGTGTGTGAGATAGTTTATAAAAGTATTTTCAAGCTCAAGAGCAACGAGTTGTCGGATAGTGTGTGGACTAATTTGGGTGTTTCTTGACTATTTTGGTTGTATGGACTTGTTGATGTAAGTGAACTTTGATGATGTATGAACTTATTGATGTTGTTCGGTTTTATTTGTATGTTGTGGTTGTATGGACTAAGTGGTTGGATTATGTACTATTTTGGTTATTTTGGTTGTATTGAATTTGTATGTTGTGGTTGTGCATATAACATATTAGTAATACCGTTCATATATCCATTGTGACGCCACTATTATAAATTGTTGGATCCTCCACTGCTTATAACAAGTTGGTAAAGAAGACTGCATTGATGGCCTGTAACAGGTCAGCTGTATTTACAATTTGGTGGGAAGGAGTAGAAGCTGCTATCTAGACCAAGGAAGAACCCTTGACAGGATAGTTAAGTCTCCCTGTACTTGCTATCATATATCACATTCCCCTTTCCTTGTATGTTCAAAGATTGGATTGATGGCCTTTCCTTGTATGTTCAAAGATTGGATTGATGGCCTGTAACAGGTCAGCTGTATTTGTTTTTTGATTTTAGACCTTTTCCCTTTTGAGGATCTTGTATGTGGATCTCTGTTTTAGTTCTTATTGTTCATCGTAAGGGGAGAAACACAAAATTAAAAAACAAACAAAGCATGAAGATTTCTGCCGCATTCGATACAGTGAGGTCTCATTCTGCTATATTAGATTTCCAAACAGTTTCAAATTTCAAATGTCCATACGTATCCGACAGACCAGAAAAGAAGTGATAACTCTCTGATTCTTTTAGAACTCGATTCAAAGACGTCAACAGACAAACGAAAAATTTCCCCAGCATCGAACAAAGCTTCTGATCAGTATTCAAGCCACAACCAACACATGGAATATCTAAAGCTCTAAAAATGGAACGAACGACATCTTGTTTAAAATAAGTATAGCTTTTTTTACAAAGAACGACATCTTGTTTAAAATAAGTACAGCTTTTTTTTACAAGGAATAGAGGTGAACAGAAAGAAGACATAGTAATACTCATTAGTACAAACCAGTACTAACAAAACATGCAACCGTCAGTTTCCTGTTGCAAAGCTCAACTCGATCTCTACAAGTTTGACATGAAACTGGAAGCAGCAAATGCGGCTGATCCCTCAAAAACACAAACTGAAGCAACCACAACCTGCAAAGCTATCTCCAAAGCATTTTCTTCAGGCACAACAAAAACACAAGCAGGTCCCAGGACTAGTAACACAAGACTTAGGCTCAGGAGAGCTCCGGGGGTTCCAGGATCAGTGGCTGCTGATAAAACGCCGAGCTCTTCTGCCTTTGAGAGGAGACCTAATCGCTCTACTGTGGGCAAAGAGAGGCCGAATTTCTCAAGAGCGGATAGAAGTCCAGCCTTCCCGGCTTTTGTTAGGAGCCTCAGCTTCTCCACGTTTTAGAGGAGTTTGACGGGGGTGATGCTCCATTGTTTGATGCTTGTGGCCCTGGCTCTCCCACTGGGAAGACTACTGATCCCTGTGTATTTAAAATGTTGTTAAACTTACTGTAAATGTTAGATGTTAAGAATGCGGATGAAAATAATAAAATTTCAATGTTCTGACAAAACAAGGTGTAGATTCATGAAACATAAAAGACTGAGATTGAGGGGGAGGGCGTTCTGAGAAGCGTGATTTTGGGGGGAAGAGAAGAGTGAGCTGTACCACATTATTAGGCTCAAAGATGGGCTTTTTTGCAAATTTCCCTCTACCACTTTAGATCAAATCAAACGGCTCACAAAGCTCCACCTCACTACCAAGGAGATTGGGTATGCTTGGTACCAAGCATACCCATTTTCCTCATATATATATATATGTCTTTGTGCAAAATTAGCTATTAAAGATAGTCATGTGGTGATGCTCACCTTGCTTGTCACATTATAAATGGTGGTCTCACCTCTCTCTATTAAAGATAGTCATGTGGTGATGCTCACCTTGCTTGTCACATTATAAATGGTGGTCTCACCTCTCTCTATTAAAGATAGTCATGTGGTTCTCTCTCTCTTATAAGACCATTTTGCTAAATGAGCCGCCCTCTCATTGTCATCAATCCCTAACTTAGTAAATTATTTAGAACAAAAAATTGAAGTGACCCTTCCTATTTATATATGTTAAGAATAAAACTTCAGGGAAGAGAAGAGATAATTTTATTCATTGTACTAAAGTGTTTAAATACAAGAGCTAGAGAAAAGATTTTAGTATTCTAAGCAATGTGAGACTAAAAGAAAGGGATATAATATGCCTAATAACTATATTTAACGCCCTTTGTCAAACTCATGATCAGTAGGGAACCGCGAGCTTGGGTAAGAAGAGCCAAATTTACATAGATGGCTGTTAGCATGGCTTGGTGAGAGGTGGTTGAATTGAAGCACATCAGTGACTGGAATTGCAGGCGACAAGATCATGTTATTGCAGCAGTAATCGACGGTCACGCACGGTGGTTGCAAGAGAGCTAACCTATAATCACGGGAGAAAGCGTGGTTATTAGATCTTACAAGCGGCGAGATATGGTGTTGCAACAATGATCAGCGGTCACACAAGGTGGTCACGAGAGGAGGCGAGGTGACCGGATCTTATAAGCATCGGTGAGTGGAAAGCGCACGACGAAAGACTGCTTGGCTAGAGGCTGGCTGAGTAGCAAGAATTCTCGCTAAGGCAATCCGTCGAACACCTTGTGTGCATGCGATGAAGTGGATGAACAGTAACCCATGGATGAATGGTGTCATTGTGGCGAGGTTAGGACTAGGATTTTGCTGTGAACGAAGGTTTCAACGGGTGAACGGTGTCATTATGCTATGCGAGGTTAGGGCTAGGATTTTTTTATGTGATGATGTTGTGAGTGATGGGGCGGTGTGTCAAGGTTTAATCTAGTATCATGGCAACCAAGGGGAAGTGTGGAGTTTTTGGCAAAAACAGCCCGGTGGATCGATGTAGAGGAAGAAGAAAGAAGTCTCTGGGATCAAGAGGATGACTCTGATACTATGTTAATAATAGAGCTTTAGGGAAAATAAGAAAAAATTTAATTCATTGCATTGAAGTGTTTAAATACAAGTGCGAGAGAAAAGATTCTAGTATTCTAAGGGATGTGGGACTAAAAGAAAAGGATACAATATAACTACTAACTATATTTAACAATATATTCCTCAAAACAAAAGGCTGAGAATCCTTGGTTCTTAGCTAACAACTGAGCTAGTGCTAAAGGGAATACAACTCTCTAGTTTCCAATGACATGTTTTAATGTTTGAAAGATATAATATAACTACTAACTATATTTAACAATATATTCTTCAAAACTAAAGGCTGAGAATCCTTGGTTCTTAGCTAACAACTGAGCTAGTGCTAAAGGGAATACAACTCTCTAGTTTCCAATGACATGTTTTAATGTTTGAAAGATATAATATAACTACTAACTATATTTAACAATATATTCTTCAAAACTAAAGGCTGAGAATCCTTGGTTCTTAGCTAACAACTGAGCTAGTGCTAAAGGGAATACAACTCTCTAGTTTCCAATGACATGTTTTAATGTTTGAAAGATATAATATAACTACTAACTATATTTAACAATATATTCTTCAAAACTAAAGGCTGAGAATCCTTGGTTCTTAGCTAACAACTGAGCTAGTGCTAAAGGGAATACAACTCTCTAGTTTCCAATGACATGTTTTAATGTTTGAAAGATATAATATAACTACTAACTATATTTAACAATATATTCTTCAAAACTAAAGGCTGAGAATCCTTGGTTCTTAGCTAACAACTGAGCTAGTGCTAAAGGGAATACAACTCTCTAGTTTCCAATGACATGTTTTAATGTTTGAAAGATATAATATAACTACTAACTATATTTAACAATATATTCTTCAAAACTAAAGGCTGAGAATCCTTGGTTCTTAGCTAACAACTGAGCTAGTGCTAAAGGGAATACAACTCTCTAGTTTCCAATGACATGTTTTAATGTTTGAAAGATATAATATAACTACTAACTATATTTAACAATATATTCTTCAAAACTAAAGGCTGAGAATCCTTGGTTCTTAGCTAACAACTGAGCTAGTGCTAAAGGGAATACAACTCTCTAGTTTCCAATGACATGTTTTAATGTTTGAAAGATATAATATAACTACTAACTATATTTAACAATATATTCTTCAAAACTAAAGGCTGAGAATCCTTGGTTCTTAGCTAACAACTGAGCTAGTGCTAAAGGGAATACAACTCTCTAGTTTCCAATGACATGTTTTAATGTTTGAAAGATATAATATAACTACTAACTATATTTAACAATATATTCTTCAAAACTAAAGGCTGAGAATCCTTGGTTCTTAGCTAACAACTGAGCTAGTGCTAAAGGGAATACAACTCTCTAGTTTCCAATGACATGTTTTAATGTTTGAAATGCAACTCAGATATTATGCTTATCATATTCATATCCGCTTACCTATCTTGGATACGGATACAGATACGGATATGCATCCATATCCGCTAAAATCGAATACGATTATGGATATATAAGCGGATATGCATGCGGATACAAAACGAATATGCGAAAAGTAGATAATATTGAGAAAAACATAGTTCACGTGATACAAAAAAGATTGTTAATATGTTTATTATAACTAAAAAGCTAAGATTAGAATTAACCATAATCCATAATTTAAGAACCAAAACTATCGTAAGAGTATGACTAATATGTATTCGGATATTTCGGATACAGATATAGATATTTCACTACAAAACCATATCTATAACCATATTCTATCGGTTATAGATTTGAGTAACCATATCCATATCATAATGGATATGGTTATGGAAATTTTCTCGGATAGGGATACGGTTTAGCACCCCTACTCTTCTATCATCAATTTTATGTGTTCCCAACATATTCAGAGATATGTTCACACAAGCTTCACCCTCTGATCAGTTTGCCATCGTGGTGGATGTAGGATTTCTAAAGAGTGGTATCACTCACTATGTAAGTAATAATAAATAAAAATAAAAACCTAATAACTATGACATGCTTTCATATTTTGAAAAAAAATTGATATTCGTATCATTAGTAATACTATCAAATGCACTAGCGTGTCTAGACTCAAGTGCATAGTATTAGTAAAATAAAATATATCATTACTAACGTATCATATCTGAACCCAAGCACATATCATTTGTACAAAAAGTCTTCATGAAAAATAAAACCAAAAGAGTGGCGCTACAAAGACATATTCACCTAAAGTAAAGCCGCCCATGTTTACCATTACTAAGTTGGATAAATTTTTAAAAACAACCATTTTTCAAAATTAATAAGTAAAATCGACCATTTAAGAATTTATTAAGTAAGATCGACCTTTTTCAGTGAAAAGGGTCAATTTTGTAGTTTTTGAACTGCACGGGACTACTAGTCCCGTGCAGTTCTCCCAAAAAGACCCCAAAATCATCACTTTGCACTCTCTCCTCTTCCTCTCCCTTCTCGCCCTCTTCTACCTCCTCGTTGACACCGCCTCCCACTACTTCTGCTCCTCCGTCAAAAACCTCTCCCGCCTCCTCAACCTTTCCCCCAAGAACATACCGTCTGGACCTGACTCCAAGGCCCACAGGCTTGTCGCTGGGATCGAGCTGGACACCAAGAGCCCTAGTGAAGTAACCGCTGATGTATGAGAGCATGAGGATGTTGTCGGCACCCACGTTGAGGCTCTCCTTCCAGGCCTTGATGACGAAGGCGTCGTCGAGGGAGACTTAGGCGATGGTGCCAACGCCCTTGGCCTTGAGATCAATGACCTTCTCCACGAAGCCAAGGAGGTGTTTCTGAGAGCAGGTTGGGGGTGAAGGCTCCAGGGACAACGAAGAGAATGGTTTTCTTACCCTTGGTGAGATTGGAGACGGAGACTGTTTGGAGGGCGGAGGTAGGTGGAGAATCACACGAGGTTCAACTCAAAAGGGAGAGAGTGCGAAGTGCTAATTTTGGGGGTTTTTTGGGAGAACTGCACGGGACTAGTAGTCCCGTCGTGCAGTTCAAAATCTGCAAAATCGACCCTTTTTTACTAAAAAAGGTCGATTTTGCTAAATAAATTTTTAAATGATCAATTTTACTTATTAATTTTGAAAAATGGTCGTTTTTAAAAAATTGTCCTACTAAGTACTATGTTCTTTATTCTCAAGCTGAATAGAAAATTATCAAATCATCTTTATGCACATTCAGTCATGAGTAAAATTAGGAAAAATTGTGTTAAGATCCTAAATTATAAATATTCATATGGTCAACCCCCGCAGTTTTTACCCATGTGTAAAATCTCTAAAACTCAATTTCTCATGTGAAGAATCTTCTCTTTTTGCCACCACCTCAGCACAGTGAAAAGTCACATTCTCCCCTAGTCTCTCATCTCTCTCTTTTTCTTCCCCATGAATCTATGTCTAAATGTTCCTTCTTCTCCCTCTCATCAACTATTATATCTTTTTCCACCACGTTTGTAATTACATCATTCTTCTCATCTTTTCTCAACCATTAACTTTTTCGCCGTTACGGCCTCTCTTTTTCATTTTCCCCTTCCCTCAAACATTTTTGCACCTCTTTCCCACACTTGTTGCCGCATCACTCAAAGATTGTTTTCTTTGGCTAAGACAGACATCTCCTAAAGTTACACTAAAGTTAACACTTAATAATTACAGTTAACATCTATATTTTAAGGTAGATATTTAGCCAAATTTTATCAGATAGATGTTAACTATATGACTTAAATGTTAGCTTTACTGGATAGATGATAATTGTATGATTTAGCTGTAGAGTTTAACAGATATGTTAATTCAATGAATTTATTGCTAAGTCTAACAAATTGATGTTAGCTATATGAATTAGCATCTACTCTACATAGTTAACATCTATTTTTTGAGATTATCATATGACTTAAATCATTAACATGTGAAGTATAAAATTGACATCTATTTTGTAAACTTAACATCCATCTTCAAAGATTAACAATTTTTTTATAATGTTAATTGCAGAGCTTAGATTAGAGGAAACAAGAAGAAAAATAAGAACCAAAAAGAATATTTGGAGAGGAACATCGAGATTGTATTCATCGATTCATCTATATAAGAACAAGTATAATCCTAATACATTTTATTGATTATAATTCTCAATGTCTCATCTAGTGGTAACTATTTTTACTACATAATAACTATATGACAATTTTCCCACTAATCCCACTACATCCTCTTGGAATCCTAACAGATCATGATTGTTATTTTAGGCTCCATTTGGCAAAGGGTTAATGAAGATGGATTAAGAAGAAGGATTAACGTAGTTAGCCCATTCGATAATCCGAAGGACTAAATTATTAACTCGTTATATAAGTTTTATTTTAGTCTTTGTGATCAGTTTTAGTGTTTGGGAATAACAATGATTTTGATTATTTTCTTTATAATTAGAAGGGTTAACTCTTAGTCCTTCTAAATAGGAGTATTAGTAAACCCCTCATTTTGAGGGGTTAACTCATTTTAATCTCTCTAAAGGGGTTAGCTTAACCCTTCTATATTTTTTATGTTTGACAAATTATGGAGGGTTAACTCACTTTAACCCTTATATAGAGTTTTTATGTTTGACGGGTTAAGAAGGGGTTAAGTCTACTTAACCACTCACTTAACCTTTTGCCAAACGGTACCTTAGGGATGGGAAAAAGGATTGAGAAGAACTACCACAAGAAAAATTATTTTTGTGGCTAAAATACATTACCAAAAGTGCAATAACTTGATCACAAGAGCATTTTAATTTTGGGGTCTAAACATAATTTTTCCTTGAAATTTGTTATTTTCCTTTTCATCACTGCAATAATTGATTTCTCAATCTATTGTATTTATTAACTTTTCATAAGAAGAAATCTCTAAAATCAGTTAAATTCAAGGAGTTTACAGTAAAATTGAGTCCATCGAATTAGTGGTTACAACATAATTGAGTCTATTGAATTATTGGTTAATCCATACAATATTAGTCGCAATATAGTTCATTGTATTAATATATTTTTGAGTAGGGAATGTCGCCCTACTTTTTCTTTAAAAAATATATTTAGTTGTGATAAATAGTTACAGATGTATTATTTATTAATCCGAATCAAAGCTGAGATTTGTTTTAAAATATATATATAAAATACAACATTTATTGGAGATAATGTCAAAATATATATATATAATACAACATTTTGAGTAGGGAATGTCTATTTGCATTTCTTAAGTAGTTGCTAAGGGCCTGTTTGGTTATTTCCAAAAAAAAATCGGAAATGGAAAACTCATCCTTGAAATGATTTTAATACATTTCAAGCACATTTCCCAGATTTCTTTTTTTTTGGTTTGTTTCGCAAAGAAAACTCCACATTTCAATGCCAAGTCACACAAACAGACAAAAAAAGCCTTCATAGTAACAGTGCCCAGTTTTCTATTTCTTTTGTTTGTTTGACAACAAGAAATAGGAAATGAGAAATGGGGGTATTAAATATTATGTTTTATTATTCTGCACTATTCCAACAGTGCTTTTACTAATTAATAATTCTTAGATGGGACATTTCCAAGTGTTTTCAGCCCAATTTGATGTGAAAACACATTTCTTGAAAGTTTGAGGTGGCAGCCTACGTGGCGGTTCATTTCTCGAAAATTAAAAAAGAAACAAACATGAGAAATGGAAATCTCTTGAAAACAAAATCCCATGTGGCACTTGTTCATTTCTTGAAAGTTGAGGTGGCAAGAGATTTCCGGATTTTTTTTGGCAAACGAACAGACCCTAAGAGGAAAGTAAATGGTACCCCCCTAAAAACCACCTTAAACATAGAGTAAGTATACATAAATCATCTTTTAATTTCAATTTCTATTTACATATAATCACCTTTAAAATAGGTTTTGTTGCAATCAACCAACTCCTAAATAATATTTCACTAAAAATTCAAAAAAAAACTTAAAATATTCAATTTCAAAATATATGAGTTGCATCCTAACAAGACCTAAATACTTTGAATGTGATTTTTTAAGAATAATTTTAAAATTTCAGTAAAAATTTTGATTGGAGATTATTGATCGCAGTAAAAATTCATTTTGAAGAGGAATTATGTATGAATTAGACATGAATGATGGTTCCCTTATTATTATCCTATTTTCTAAGCGGTCGCTATGAAAAAACCCCTTTAAAGAGCCCCTTCAATTAGCCTCAAACTATTTTGTAATTAATTTCGATCAAGAATTTCTTCCAGCGGAGAAGAAGAAGAAGAAGAAGAGCTTGGGAAAGCTCTCAATTCTGGTGAGAACAAATTTCCTTTACACCTTTTTGCCTTGGTTCGTTTTACAGTTTTTTTTTTAAATTTTAAAATTCCATAATTTAAGCTGTAAAATGTTCCCAATTCGACCGATTCAAATGGGTCTCTTCCAAAAAATCCTGGACGTGCTGGTGGTTGTTAAGAGGAAAGTAAAGGTTCCATTAATATACGGGGAATTTATCATTACATTCATTATTATTTAGCGTAGGAAAACCACTGTGATATGTGCGTAGGATCCACAGATGACACCAAATTTGGTCGGATTTAGGCGAATCTGACAGCGACAGGGCTTGTAACAACATGTTTGTTCGAAACCCACTCGAGTTTCCCCCTTGAAACCAGCCCTTTCCCTGGTGATCGCCTCATGACGAGGCTGACATTGAAGTCCTTGACCTGCTGGACTCTAGAAAACGAAATTTGGTGCGTAGAAAGGTAAATGCTGACCCCGGGCGGCTCCTGGACCCGCGCCTGGTAAACCTCGTTAGCGTCCCCTACGTTCGTCGCTGTTCGTTGCACGGTCTGGGTCCTTGAATTTGAGCTGAGAGATACCGCGATGGAGGGGTAATTCAGCTGTGACGGGCTGGTCTTTTTGTGTCGGGAGCATTGAACAAAATAGCCAACTGTCCAGTACACCTCAGTGTCGTTGTACCCTAGGCCACAGAGGTATGAGATGTAATCGTCGTGAGTTAGGTCGTAAATGAGACCAGGATCCATCGCCCCGGCTGGATTCACCTGGCCCGCTCCTGTGGCATAGATACCGGCTGTCTTATTGTCCGCCTCGTCCTTGATGGGGTTCCCGTCAAGATCTAGCTCCTTGGCCGAGGTTATGATGGCGGATTGGATCGCTGCTGGTGACCACTGCTTGTGTTTGTACTTGATTAAAGCGACGATTCCAGAAACGTGAGGAGCGGCCATGGAGGTGCCGCTGTCATAGTTGAAGTTTTTAAGGATGAACGGGTTAGGATTAGGTCCGACTCCAGATGGCCATGCTGCTAGAATGTTCACGCCTGGTGCAAGGACATCTGGTTTCAAGATGTCGCCGTTCATCTCGCTTGGACCCCTAGAGGAGAAAGAAGCGACTGCTGGAGATGGTCGGAATCCATATTGTGCGTAGTTGAACTTGATTGCTGCGGTAGGAGTGGAGTTTGACATCATAACGTAGTCTCTGATCTTTATCCCATCCACAAAGCTAACTTGGACAGCTGGAAGGATATGAGCTTCAGAAGATGTGGTATATCCCTGGTCTGGTAAGTCTTGTAGTTCCATTCCATTTCCGAGCTTTACAGCTGCGCTTATTCTTCTGTCAGTTGAGCTCGCTCCTACTGTCAAAACCCACGGGGCACTAAGGGCCAATGTATTTTTTTCAGGGCCACTATTGCCTGCGGATGCACAATTGGAGATTCCCTTCTTGAATGCTGCTAGTGAACCTTGTGCGATTGAATCAAAATAGAATGTTGCATTATGTGCACCACTAATTGACATGGAGATTATATCGACTCCATCCGTGATAGCCTGATCTATGGCTTTAAGTGTATTATGCCCCCAACAGCCATCCTCGAAGCACACTTTGTAGATAGCTAGGTGAGCTTTAGGTGCCATTCCAGCGGCCTTACCCTTGGCTGTCCCAAGAACGTTGGCATCGTCCACGAAATTGCCTGCAGCCGTGCCTGCCACGTGGGTCCCATGCCCTGCTGTGTCTAATGGGGAAGGACTGGTTCCGTTTCGGAATGCTCTTGCACCGATGATCTTATTATTGCAACTGAGGTAATAACACTTACCCTTCCATTTAGTAGGTGGAGGAGGCATTAGATTGTCGCTAAAAGAAGGATGGTTCGGAAAAATTCCAGTGTCAATAATTCCAATTATGATGCCTTCGCCATACATGGTGCCATCCCATGCTCCTCCGAACGGCTGGCTCAACCCCAAGAACTCTGGGGTATAAGTGGTTTCTAGGTGATAGAGCTTGTCAGGGTGGGCATATAAAAAGCCTTCCTTACCTTCCATAGCCTTCACTTCTGTAGGAGTTAGCCTCGCAGCAAAACCGCTGATTGCGTGTCGATAGGAGTACACCAAACGAGGTGCTCCCGAGTCTAGAGTGTTGTTAGGTAGAAAGGATTTGTACCAAATTTCAAGATCTATATCGCTGAGAAGCTCAGCTTCCTTGGTGTTTACTACATGAACGATGTAGGTTTGCGTCTGGCCAGGATTGCCTCCTTGATCATTGACCACTGGGAGAAGCTTGCCATGGCATGAAAAATGAGTAAGATTTGATAGCAAGAAGAAGAGGAGAGCTAAGTAAAGGGCCATGGGAGTATCTCAGGTCCTGAGGATGTGGATGGCTTGAAGGATTGATTGCTGAGAGTTGATATAATGGTTGAGAGATGCCAATTACGAGGTAGGGTTCTGTTTTCTTGACACAAGACAGCAAAGGAAATTTCTTTTCTGATTAAATGTATAACATAATGCTCTTTAATAGAAGGAATAAGACAAGAACGTTGTATATCATGCAGCGCTTATGTTATTGCCATCAATAATGAGAAAAAAGAGACCTATTAAGTGTTTGTCAGCTCAAGGAAAAAAGAATACTATGTTTTCCAAATTTGGCCTCATCTTAAGATTGTCTCTGAAGAATAAGAGGGTTTAGCACTATTTAATCACTGACATTTTTGCCAGAGGATTTTATATTTCAACCACACTTCCTGATTACTGCTATTAGATAAGTTTTATATAATTGTTTTGCTAATAATTTATGCCGTGTTCTATATGGGCCTGCAACCTTTTCTTAATACAACAGTTCAACTTCTTACACTTCTTTTAAAAAATTATTTTTTGACTGTTCATGAGACGATGAATATATGATAATCATCTCCTTTGATTTTGTGTCACACTTTAATCCACTGAGCTGGTGATTTCATGCGCAGATGTTTGATCTGCCATTTTGTGTCACACTTTAATCCACTGAGCTGGTGATTTCATGCGCAGATGTTTGATCTGCCATAGACTCGCTTGCAACCTGCATATTAATGGTTCCGTTAAGTGTACAACGTCCTCTTTGCTTGTGAAATATTAGGAAAATAAATTTACGCATATTCTCCTCTCCACATTTCTTGATTTGTTTGATTCTGATGAGCCAAGAGAAATGGAGTGTTTCAAGAGTACTATGCAGGAAGCTGACACGAAAATTATTGTTTGCCAACTTTCCATTCATAAAGAAATGAGTATTATCTTCTATAGGTTTGCTTTCAGATGGCTTTGTACAATGAAATGCTTAATCACTTGGGAATTTTGGGAGCATGATTAGTGGTTTCCCATGCGGGTTTTTTAGCCTCTATGCTGAACAAAGATGGTGCTGTTGGATTTAAAGATCAGAAGATGAAATTGCTCTGTTCATTTTGGTTCATCTCTTAAAAGGTCAACAGATAAAATTTTCACTTTGGAGCGAGAAGGTGATGCTCTTCTCAGTTTAAAAGAAAACATGTTGGAATTGTAGAAGTTGATCATCATTGTTTGCTGTAGATATGGTGCTCCTATATCAGTTGAGACTACATATCTTGAATTTATAGGGCAAATTTCAGAAAACTACCATGGACTTTGGGAGGTGGGGTTTGCCAAATTACAAAACTACCACAGATTTCAAATTTCAGAAAACTACCATGGACTTTGGGAGGTGGGGTTTGCCAAATTACAAAACTACCACAGATTTTTAGAAAACTACCACTAGTAAAAAATAGGGCATTGGCGATGGGGTATTGGCGACGGATATCAAATCCATCGCCAATACCCCATCGCCAATGTTTGCATTGACTACGGGTGTTGACCGTCGCCCATGACCAAGGGCGACGAGAAAACATTGCTGACGGATGCGGGCCG